AGTGTTCCCATTATTGCAATTTATTTATCAATGTTTATAATTTAACACTTAATTTAGCACTACCATCAACTATATTCCACTATATCGCAATAAAAGATGAATATCTTATCTCCTTTATTAACTTCTGGAAGCATAACTGATAATTCATTATTTTTTTTTCCAGCCAGGAATTAGATATTGGAATAAGCATAAAACTCCTTTAAATGCCAGCACAACTCTTGCAAGCTGATGACATTATTGTGATTTTGTTTTTCTTTGAACATCTCACTGAGGGTTCTGAGACCTTGCTGAAGATCTGGAGGTTGACATCCTGCTTGTAAGCGATAATTGCTTTGCACTGACATAGAAAAGACCTGCCCTGTGGACAATTTTCTTGAAATGATGTGCTGTTTCTTGTTCTAATCTGCTGAAGGAGATGGTATCTGTAGTATCCAGGACACGTGCTGTGAACAGGGCGTGGGTGTGTGTTTAAAACGTAATGGGGAAGTGTCCTGGTTCATGTAGATTCTTCTTCTAAACATGAATATATCAGCGGTGCAGACTGACAGTGCTGAATAGACCTTTATAATTCTCTATTTCTAGCAGTCATTTTTGTATAAGATGTACCAATGTGTACAGTGTCCTGTAAGTGGTGCTTGCTAGGCAGCCTCCCCTACAGCTCTAATAATAGCTCAGTAATAGGCAGTGAGGGAGCGTGCAGCAGACACAATGTGCAGGAACGCCAGGGTTTAGTGGACAGCTGCTTGAATATCTAGCATGCCATTACACAGCATCTGCTGCACCAGATCTCACCACATTTGCTTTCTGAATTGTAATAGATGTAAACGTAAAGAACATAAAGAATTAGAATTACTGGGCAGTTGAAGATTGGAGAAGGAACAGCCTTGGACCAGGCACGCAAAAGTTTCTAGAGCTTACACAGAAGGTGCAGAAAACAAACAAACAAACAAACAAACAAACAAACAAACAAAAGTCCAGCGAGCAGCAGTTCTATCGGCAGAAACGACTTGTTGATGAGAGAGGTCAGGGGAGAAAATGATCTCAGAATGCACAACAAGCCAAAGCCTTCAGGCGGATGCGCTACAGTGGCACAGACTCTGCACAGGTGAAGACTGGAAAAACACCGGGCGATTTTAACGTATAAAATTCTGCTCTTTTTTTTCTAGTCAGAAATGTGCCATCAAAGACACACACACACACACACACTACACCCAAATACGCAAATAAACATTTACAAGCATATACACATTAACCAAGTCAGCTAGAGAACATGCTTTCCTTGTCTGGCACATCGTTATTCTTTCAGGCCCGGCAATTTTACCAACTAATTTGGGTCCATTATGAAGTTTAATCATTTTAAATGACACAAAATTACTCTTGCATGAAGTCGCCAGGCATTGAACAACTGTGTGGATGCAAAAGTGCCACACAATCCATGAAATCAAAATGAATTTCTTCAACACCCATGACAAATATTACTTATATGTCAAGCCCATGCCTAAAATATGACTTGACCAAAATGTCCCTTCCATGAAGCGACTCGAATCAAAGCCAGATGCTGCAGCCTCTCCACCTGCTACCTCTCACACTGCCTTCTCCTAAAAGTCAACACGAAGCCTGTCAGATGTTTTTAACATGCAGGGGGTCACATTCTGTACATTCTACTCTATCTGTTTACGGTATGGTCATTATACGCAGCGCTTAAGACCTTCTGCTTCTTTTCCTGTCTGCTCTTAGTTTCCTAAGCAAGAGAAAAATGTGAAATACATGGAAACACTTATTTCACTAGAATTAAAATCCTTGCTGCCATTTTTTTTTTTTTCAAAACCACAAAAGTACATACACTGAACAACATCATAATTACATCATTATCCAAAAAAAAAAAAATTTAAAAGCACAAATGCAGATCTGCCCCACATAACTGTTTCAAACCCTGCAATTTAATGAAAATCCTTTCAAAAATATTTTTGTACTGAAAGCTATTAAGGCGAGATAGAACCTGTAAGTGGGTAATGGTATATAGCGTGTGTTTTACTCTAACAAACTAGTGTGAAATAGGCAGCAGGTTTTGTTATAAGGCCCTGTAAATGAATAACAAGCAGTGCTGCTTTCGTCACATGGGCACATACATGGTCATCCCAGTATTGAAGTAAACCTTAAACTGTTCATATATGTTCAGCTGGATTCACCTGAACACTGTACGTGTTAAAAGAAGTAGGTGTTAATGAGACCCTGTGACTTTGGCCATGTATACCATGCATAGTTCTGGAGCACTTCTACAGAAAGGAATTAGCTGAGCAAGCACTTCTTAAAGTTATATGTTGTTATACATTCTCTATAAGCTATGTAAAATCAAAATAATGTTAATGTTAACTCAGAGTTAACTCATGTGTTTGTGGCTTTGCTTATTTATGACACATCTAACACGTGATGTTTTGATTTTTTTCTACTCTGACTGTTCAAATAAAACAATGACTGATATTATTATTTTTATGATAAGCTCCAGGGCGTTGCCTCACACTGCGTCACACTATACACACCACACCGTGATTCTGGGTAAAGCTGATCCTAATAAACACTGCGTCACACTATACACACCACACCGTGATTCTGGGTAAAGCTGATACGAAGCATGATCCTAATAAACACTGATCACATCTGAAGGCTTGATGCACTTTTCATTTCCAGCTCACAAGGACAGGGTTAGTGGTAAGCTACCATTTCTCAAGAATCATGTGCACTGTCTGCGAATATGAACAGAAGCACTAAGTATTATTTTAGTTCATCTCTATTCCATATTAGATTAGTGTGTACAGTATGAGCTCCTACAGACTAACACACTGTGAAGTTTTGCTGTTCGAAAATGCAATTCTGAGCCTTATCTCAGGTTTGGCTGCCTCAATAATGATCAACTCTTTGCTCATCTTTATGTTTCAGCCTGCTGAACATCCACAGTAGCCTTTTATTGGGATTCACTGCCTGTTTTTTTATTACATCTCTGGATCATGGATTGTGCTCAGAAAATGTATCTTTTACCTCCACTCTCAATTTAAATATAATATAAATGCTGCTTAGCTGTTTATTAAATGTTTTTACGCACATTGCCCTGTGGCTCCCAGACATTATCCACACATATGTGAAGGTTTTTTGTGATCCAGGGCATTTTATCTAGTACTACGAAGTCAAGATGAGTGGATTAGGTATAATCATGAAAATGTCTTCGTCTATCGGCATTCACAGTTCAGCAGAGCTGTGTAATAAGTCTCTAGTATTAATATCGCTGTGTTTGATTAACACCTATAATATCATGGAGCTTGTTAATGTCACCTGGCAGTTTTTGGCATCTAGAGGTGTGTACTGGAGTGAACCCGCTGACATAAAGGTGTTATGACAGCAGTGTGAATGGTGTTGCAGACTCATTAACCTTCAGAGATGACAGAGACGAGACAGCTTCCCTCCTCTCCCAACCAGCTATCTCTTTATCCAAGTTACAGACTCTGCACTCCTCAAAGATGCGTCGTTTGTGCTTTAGACACAGGTAGATCTCCGAGTCTTGATCTTAGCTCGCTTGGGTTGTGCCTTGCGCTTCATTGCCTCCCGAGATCTAAGAACAGAATATGTTACATAGAATAAGATACAAAGAATAATACAATGATTTTAATCGAATCTTCCTATCTATATGGCTTATGTTTAATAACCTCTGGAGAGGACATCAGATTTAGCATAAACACTTTTCTCTGGAAGATTTCACAGGTTAGAAAGAAATCAAAATACAACCAAACCACCCTTATGGAGAAATGTGATCATATGTCTTCTCACACCTGATTATATGTGAGTAATATGTGATTATATGTGAAAACCATGTTAACTCACGTAAGCACATGATTATTTAAATAATATGTGACAAACCATGTTGTACATGTGAACATGAACAAATCATGGGAAAATTCACATGTGAAAAAATCAAAATAAAATTTACACGTACACGTGAAAAGTCTACGTGTGAAAATGTGTGAAATATAACATTTTGATAATATTATATAAAGTCAGTGTAAAGGACACGAATCAGTTTCAAACACACAAGTTTTGTATTTTAATGCATGTGAGAATTTTCATGATTTAATGAAATTCTTTTTTGTATTGTTCTTGAACGACTTAATTAGTATTACTGTATTTTTCGTTCACCACGTATTCCTAGCAAATTAGATCAGGAAATATGTCAGTGATGTCTGATGATGTAAATATGCACATTTTATATAAAAAATGTTTACAGCGCCATGAAAATGAAAGAACACTAAGACATCCTAAGATGTCCACATACCGGGTAATAGTGTAATGTCAGAGTGATGTGTTATGTCTCTATTCTTATATCGAATAAACCTCTTAGGGAAATTAAGCAGTTACGCTAATTTTCCGAAATGTGTGGAGTGGAGTGTAGAATGGCGAGTGAATGTCTTTCGCCCAAGCCTCAGTGGTATTTTCCTAAAATGTGCTTGTGGGCTTGTGGGAATAGCTGCTGTTTTTGGATGAATGTGAAGAAGAGGTTCAGGTTCCCTGCACTGCACATTTGTGGTATCATTTAAAGGCTAAACTTGTAGTCTTGTAGAGAATGGCTACACTCAGCAAAGTCCCATGTATTTCCTAGAAGAGGCAGTTAAAAAGGAATTTTCTCTAAAGTGGACAAATAGGACGGCTGGAGGATAGAGTATCATCCTGTTGATGTACAAGTCCAACATGAACGCAAATTTGTAGACATTTTCACAGGCCCTTACAGAAAAGCCACATGAACTTCACATTTACATGCATGCTTTTAGACATTTCACATTTAATGCATCTGGTTTTATTTTCACGCAATTTTTTTTTTAGTCATGTTTACATTTATGGAGTATGATGCCCTCATCCAGAGTGACGTACATTTGTCTAATTTTTTACATTTTTTTTTTACACAACTGAGCAGTTAAGGGTTAAGGGCTTTGCTCAAATGCCCAGCAGTGGCAGTTTGGCGGCGTTAGGATTTGAATTCATGACCTTCTGATCAGTAGTCCAACATTTTAACCACTGAACTACTACCTGATTACAGCCGACTGTGTTGACCGATTATTCCATAATGGGGGTAAATTTTACATGGTTAAGGCGAGGGTGAGAATAAAGGGGCAGGGTTAGTGGTTGTAACCTTTTTCATGTAACTTCATACTTTTCTATGAAATCTGCTAAAATAATTTCTCAGTACAGTTCCTACAAATTTAGCGTGAGATGCCATGGATTGACAAGTCACAGTACTATCTTTGCTGCTGGACTGTGTTTATAACATTGCTTTGCTTTTTTTTTTTTACATGTCTTGCCTTTTGAGTGTACACATTTGTGTTGTGGGGTTTGCTCAGTTTCTCAGACACCCCAGTCATTATCCAGTGATTAATGATGTTGTTCTGCTTGCTCTGTTTCTCCTGTCCTCCGGTCTTTCTGGTGTTCCTGCTGAACCCTGTTGCTGTTTTGAAAAGACCCTGTCTGGGTAACCCAAAGCTTTCAAACTTCACAGAAATGTTTGCTGTCTTTGTCTTTGTACTGGTGATATACAGGGTTAATCCTCTCAGCGTGTGCTTCAGTGGGTGGCAGGAATCCAATAGCAAACACTGATTGTTATGAGTGGATTTCCTGCAGACCTTAATGTCCCTGTGACCACCATCACGTATATATATATATATATATATACTGTATAGTCCTAAAGACCAGAATGCTTGTGATGAGAATGGATTGTTGATGAAGCATTGACAGACATACAGTACATGCCACAAAAAAAACTATCAAAACTCTGAAATTTATTCCACAGCATTGTGATTTGTCAGAAAGTGTTGATTAATTTTAATTAATGTCGGTTGCAAGGCAAGTCACAGGTTTATACTAATATGCTTGATCTAATGTTATTGTTTCCATAGTAACAGCTAATTCACAGGGAATGTGATGCATGTACAGTGGATCCTCTGCATATTCAAAGATAATAATAAATGGATCTAAAAACATGCTTTTAGTTAACAAAGAAAAATAATCATATACTCATTGATATAGTACCCACATCTGTAAGAAAACATTTATTTAACATTTATGGAAGGAGTCTCCAGTGTCAGCACTTAAAACTATAAGTATTCCCCACAGGAACCTCTTCAGGACAGAGGATTCGACTCTTTCCGGTTTCTTGGTAACATGACAAGCTGCATCATGTTGCGCTGCTTTGTGTCACATCGCACCACGTCGTCAATTATTTTCCTTTAACAGCACATCAGAAAGTGTTTCGTTCCTGAGGCATAACCCATTCAGTGTGCCACAAGCAGACAGAGCAGAGTTCTGCCATGATCTGAATCCTTCTATACAAAGGGATTCACAAGATAGCATACAATCCAAACATCTAAGTCTGTAACTAATCATCAGCCAATTAACCAGAAGCAAGTGCAAGAGGACTAGAACATACACTGTATAGCCAAAGGTTTGTGGACACCTGATGATCACACATCCCATTCCAAATGTAGTCCCCCCTTTGCTGTTGTAATAACCTCCACTCTTTTGGGAAGGCTTTCCCCTACATTTTGGAGCGTGGCTCTGGGGATTTACCCGTTCAGCCACATTCGCATTAGTGAGGTTAGACACTGATGTCAGGTGAGGAGGCCTGGGGTGCAGCCTGCATTCCAATTCATCCCAAAGGTATTCAGTGGGGTTTCATTAAAAATATAATTAAATTTAATATGTAATCACATGGCATCAATCACAAAAACACACCTGGATAGACATACACACAGTCAGAGAGAGAGAGAGAGAGAGAGAGAGAGAGAGAGAGAGAGAGAGAGAGAGAGAGAGCTAAGCATGTTTTTACATCGTTGTTCAGGATCTCTCAGCAGAGCTAAGCTTTAGCTTTTTCTTGAAGGCTGTGAGGGAAGCGGCAGAGGCCTAATATCAGAGCAGAGCCTTTCGACTTAATTAACTTTCTGATTATAATGAGCATGCTTTCATATTTATGTGTGAAGTTTGTTACAGCAGAGCAATGTAGTGGGCTGGATAGTAGAAGAGTTGAGCCATGGGATGATGAGTTCTTGGACAAGGAGTTGTGGTGTGTATTCAGAAAGGTGCAGTCTGATCAAATTTTGTTTGAAATCTTGAGATCATGAGAATCCCCAGTGGAGCTGCAGTCAGTAGAAAAGCTGTTAAATACTCTTTGCTGACAAAAAAAGGCAAATAAATCCAATGTTTTCCAAATTCTTGGCTCAATCCATACTATCTTTGGCCTCCACAGTAAAATTTGTTACCTATTCATTACTAGCTTGACACAGTTACAAGTACACAGACTTTTCAGATAATGGAACTCTAAAAAACTGCTAAAGTGACTATTTTTATGCAGCAAAAATGGAGCTGTATACAGTTTAGCGTAGTAGAATTTCATGAGAATGCGTAAATGAGGCGAGTAAAGAATAAAACAATGAAATGAAACAATTTTCTCCAGACAGTGTGCTTTTATGGGTGCAATTTTGAAAGATAGTGCTGTGCAAAGAACATTATAAGCTATAATGTCTTCCTGATATTACATAATCATCATAAGCTAGTTACTGATTCCACAACTGCTTGTGATCCAGCAACCTCTGCGAGCATTGCATCATGATCAACGTAGCTTAAAATGATGCCTTTCAAACATTTTTAAACCTCCTTCCAAATGAATGCTAAACATATTTGACATATTTAAAGCAGAAGTGCATTGATGTTTCCAGTTAGAATGAAAGGCAGAAAAAAAGATCAACAGTTTAATGACTCTATTATAAACCCATATCTACTTCATATCACTTCCTTTCATTGACGTCCGGTGTGTTTTTCCTGTCATTCTTTCCTTCGCTCATATTTTTCTGGCAGAAATCTAAATGGTATGTAAAAAGGCATCCTGTTTTTTCACTGTGGGACACCAGTAAAGGCATTGGGGATTATTAGATAAAGAGTGAGGAAAACTGGAGCTAAAGTGCTAAGCAGGAACTTAAACTTAATGACCTCACAGCAGAGGTGAAGTATCCTAAATCCTTGGCATAAATCACGCTTTCCCAGTGTAATAGTAATATTAATGTAAACAGCGTGGCCTTTCTTGTAATATCCGGCAAAGTGTAGTAGTAGTGGTCACTTGTCCTCCATCACAGAGTGGATCACATCTTGAAAATGGGATTTGATTGGAACTTTCTTAGAGAGGGGAACACTCTCACAGAGTTGTGTTATTTTCCAGCGTGCATTTACATGACTTCCTAGATCCAGATATTTATCTCTTGTTTGTCTGAGACTCAACATGAGTTAAATATCTGGATCTAAGACTTGGCCTTATGTGTGAAGTCAAATCTCTCTGCAGTCCTACTTGGCCCACAGGCAGTGAAGTGGGAATAGGAGTAGAGGAAAGCATCAGGCATGCTGTTGTTCTCTCATAGCCATTGTCCAGTGTTATTTTCCAGTGTGCATTTACATGACTTCCTGCTTTATTCACCTACTTGCATTGCTAATTACCATCTCTTAACAGGCGTTGTTCACTCAGAAGAAAACCGGCGCAATTTATCACTCTAAGCATGGACATGCTCAGAATTTGAAACAGATTAATTTGGACTAACGATGAAATAGCAAGACTCATTTTTAATGGCTTGGAATTGTTTATTTCTACAACTTATACAAACTAATAATATACATTTAATATACTTTCATTTTAATATATCTACTAATATCAATATTAATACGAATGATATATTTTTTTCTGTTATAGTTATGCATATGAATAAACATATATTAATAAACTTCTATACAAGCTAAGGAAGAAAAGCTAATATGGTCTGAACTGTATGTCACTCATCATACACACATTACAAAGCTCTTGCATCATACTTGCAGCTCTCCTGATGTAGTCCGCTCTCTTATCTAGCATCTCAGCCCAGGTTCAGCTGATCAAGTCTATATCACAAGCTATCTAAATATGCTTTAATTGATATTTACAGAGGAATAATTGTCTACAATCAATCATCCTACATTATAGCTGAAGTGTCTTTGGCAAACACAGATCTATTATAAGCTGTGGACATAACGAATAACAAACAGATCTCATTTCAACAAGTAGGTGAAAAAGTCATTATACAACACCGCCAGGCCATTTTCAATGCTATGATTGATATGTATTTTACAAATGTAGACATATGGTTTCAAGACATATGGTCTTTCGTAGCTCCTCATTGCTCTGCACTCCAATTGCACTATTTTTTTTTTTTAACTTGAGAAGCTTGATCCCTTAATTGTGTGCTACGCCTCTCAATAAAGATGTAAAATGACACCATCAACATAAGTCGTTTGTTTTTCTCTTCCCACCCAAAATATATGTTGTCATTACTTTAGAAATTTTGTCAACATCTTATTCGGTGGCCAAAGATTCACGTTTGCATTACAAGACTGTAGCTAAGGAACTTCCATGCTATCAGCTGAGCACAACCTCAACATTCACCTTCTTCAGTCTTTTTAGCCACACTGACCTTTTTCGTCACTTGCCTGTCTATTCCTTTGCATCTAGACCTTTCTACGTGACTTAAAGGCTTGATCCTTACTGTCGCTTCCACTGATCTGCTATTTCCAGCGTTTTCATTCTCCCAGGTTGTGCCTCTGCATCTGCATCTGACTTCTTCTTCATGCTTCTACCCCACAGTCCACGGGGTTGTGTTTTGTTCAGGTGCTCGATCTCCTCACTACTGTCTCCAAGAAAGCTTTATCTGGGGCCTGGTTTTTGCCTGGCAGAAGCAGCCATCTTCATGGCCCTGGATTTAGCTCTCGACAAGTTCCTGTGAGTACAGAAAAATATGATGTGCACCAGAATAACCGGATGCTGCGTCAACATTACATCCACAGACACTAATGATTTTGACTGTAGACTAACCTGAGCAACGTCAGAAATTCAACACGAGCATCGTTCGTAGACCCTTCAGTGAGCTCTATTCCTGAATCAGCATTGTTTAGGTTTTCCAAGGCAACCTGAAGGTCTGAATTAAGCTCTGATTTTTCCTGCAGTGGTTCAGAAAAGCTCCTCAG